TTAGCAGCCTGAGTTCTTAACTACTGTACCACCTAGGCTCCAGTTTCCTGCTACTTGTTTTAAATTAGCCCATAGTGGGTAAGCTCACAAAACAAAATGTACTCTCCACCTTCTATCCTATTAAAGGCTAAATCAAGCTCTCTGTGATTCTGTCCTTCAGGACTCTTGTGAATCTGTGGTCTTCAGTCATGCTTACTTTTAGGCCCTGTGAATGACAGTCATCTTTTTGTTTCGGGTGTTGAATGTTAAACTGCAGCTTTGTGTCGCAAAAGAAACCCCCATCTATTTCCACACAGGTGGTGCCTCCAGGTGACACACTCTGGGTGGCTGTGTGTTTCCTCCTGCAATAGGCTCTCATTTATCTCTTCATGTTTGTCTTATATTAACACAAGACCCAGCTCTCTAATCACATGGTGGGTCTTTTTGGCATGACCAGCTTCCACTCTGTCACCTCTTTAGTATAAACTATCCAGTCAGGACCAAGGGGCCCACCACGAATCACAAAGCCAGTCCTATCACTTTGGAGATTCCAGTGGTTTAGAGGTTAACCTCCCAGGAGCCAGGACAAAGGCCAGAACTCTGGGATTGTTGTTGCCATTGAGTTTATTCTGACTCATGGTGACTCCATGTGTGCAGAATAGAATTGCTCCATAGGATTTTCAAGGCTGTGACCTTTCATAAACAGATCACCAGGCCTGTCTTCTGTGGTGCCCCTGGGCGGGTTTGAACAGACAGCCTTTTGACTAGTAGTTGAACACCTAACTTTGTGCTATCCAGCTGTCAAAGCCTTCCCTTTAGGTGAGATGTAATCCTTTACTACAAAAGTAGAATAAATATGTTCATCATAGTATAATACTGAAAAACATGAACAGGAAATGATAGTGAAAATCCAGCCAGAAAATCCATCGTTTAAAGACAACTGCTCTCAGTTTGGTTAACTATACTGCTGGTGTGTGTGCACCATAGGTTTCTATAAAAGACATTTTATCATTTCGTGAATTAGTTTTACATTTTTTTCCCATAGTGTTAAATATTTTTACGCTATCATGTTAATAAGGACCCCTGATGGTAGGATGGTTAAGAGCTCAGCTGCTAACTGAAAGATCAGTGGTTTAACCCACCTAGCTGCTGTGTGGGAGAAAGACCTGGCAATCTGCTTCTCTAAAGATTAAAGCATAGAAAACCTTATGGGGCAGTTCTGTTCTGTCATATGGAGTTGCTGGAAGTGAGAATCAACTTGACTACACTTAACGACATCATTGTGTTAATAGTAGTAAAAATAGTAACTAATTATGTATATGCACATGTGTGTACCTATGTAAGGACGTTTTAAATAATTCTTTGTTGTTGGTTTTTAACTTGTTTCAAGTTTTCTCAGTTAGGAAACCCTCAGCCAATGTCCTGTCAGTGGTGTCTATTTTACTCGCCTTTTTGATTCTTTGGGTTCATATTCTGCCATTTATTAAGATGTTTGACCCAAGGCAAGTTAGAGTCTGTGACATAGTTTTTTTTTCTCTCTCAAGTGAGAACGGATTTTTTCTGTTATGATCGCAAGGTTAGATCCTAACCTTCCTTTAAAGCGTCTTATTGACTCTGTCATCCGTAATTGGATGGATTGTTTCTCTGGGTCATCTGAAAAATTATACGTTGCTTGGTGGATAGAACGTAGTAGGATTTATCACTTGGTTAAAAAAATCTACTTGTTGAATTGTTTTTTCATTTGTACATTTCGTTTATCATCCATAGAAATATAAAATCCACAGAGGGTCTCATATTCTCAGTACCACTTAAGCAGTAACTCCCCAGTCTCTCCTTCCCTGAGTCTCCGGTAGCAACTAATAAACTTTGGTCCTGATGCTTTTTTCATAGATTAAAATTAAGGATGTATAATTTGCTGAAAATTATATGGACTCAGCCATACCCTTACCTTAATCAAAACTGACTCATATGTCTCTTTCTTCTTCTCATGTTATATGAAAATAAGAACCCTCCCCGCCATCACCACAGCACTGTGGACCGTTGGAGAAATGTGTGTTTCATGTTAGCTACTGTTGATATACAAGGATTTGTCCCCAGGAGTGGGTGTGCTTGTGTCCTGCTGAGAGGGGTTTGTAAAGGGGCATAATGCTGATGAACTACAGGAACCTGGTCTACCTGGGTGAGGTGGAAGTCAGGACCTGCCCTGGGATGGCTTTGCATTTTCCATTGTGAGTCTCTTGAGAGCCCCTGCCTTTCTAGACTCAATTTCCCTTCCCTTCTTTATGGGAGTGCTTGAGGCTTTGTTGATTCAAAGCTGAAGAGCTTCATAGTCTGGCATCTGGTATTTGACCTTCCCTTTCTTCAAATGATCTGCCCGGAGTTGTTGGTGGTTCCAGAACTTGAGTGTGCATAAAACCTGTGGCCAGCATTTCAGACATCCAGTGTCCTGGTTACTCCCCTGTGCTTTTGATTTAGTAGCTCACAGAAGAGTGCTTAGAGGTCTGCACCTTTCAAATGATCCCTAAGCATTTAGAAGCAAGAGGACAGTGGCTCTTTTAAAAAAAAAAATACGGTGGTAAGATATATATAACTAAAATTTTGTCATTTTCACCATTTTTAAGTGTACAGTTCAGTGACATTAAATACATTACCAGCGTTGTGCAACCATCTCCACCATCTGATTCCAAAACTTTTTCATCATTCCAAAGAGAAACTCAGCACCCCTTAAGCTGTAACTCCCAATTCCCTCCTCCCTGAGTCCTGGTAGCCACTAACAGATTTCGGTCTCTGCTTTTGCCTCTTTTACTTATTTCATGTTGGTTTTATCTTACGATATTTGTTGTATTGTGTCTCACTGATTTCACTTAGCATAATGTTTTCAGAGTTCATCCATGCTGAAGCATGAACAAAATTTCTTTCATGTTACGTGTTTTTATCCATTCATCTGTTGATGGCCACTTGAGTTGTTACCATCTTTTGACTCTTGTGAACAATATTGTAATGAAGATTGGTATACAAGTATCTTTTTGAATCCCTGCTTTCACATCCTTTGGGTTCAAACTGCCAATTTAGGAGTGGAATGTCGGGGTCATATGGTAATTCAGTGTTTAAAACTTGAGGAACTGACAAACTTTTCCATAGTGGTTGCGCTGTTTTACTTTCTCACCCACAGTGCATGAGGGTTCCAGTTTCTCTGCATCCTCGCCAACACTTGTTCTTTTCCAGTTTCTGATGTTCCCACCCTAGTGGGTGTGAAGTGTTATCTCCTGTGGTTTTGATTTTCATTTCTCTAGTGCCTAGATGACCATGAGCATCTTTTCATATGTTTGTTGGGCAGTTGGTTATCTTCTTTGGAGAAATGTCTAAGTCCTTAGGCTATTTTAAAAAAATTTTTCAGTAAATCGCCAGGCTTTCTTCCTAGTTTGTCTTAGACTGGAGGCTCCCCTGAAACCAGTTCAGCACCTCAGCAACGTGCAAGTCCCCACTGACAAACGGGTGGTGGCTGCACACGAGGTGTACTGGTCTAGAATTGAAGCCCGGTTTTCCATGTGAGTGGCATGAATTCTACCTCTGAACAATCAATGCCCCCTTTTTCTGTCATACTCCGACTGCCATGGAGTCGATTCCAACTCATAGTGACCCTATATGACAGAGTAGAACTGCCCCCATAGGGTTTCCAAGGCTGTAAATCTTTATGGAGGCAAACTGCAATATCTTTCTCCTGTGGAGTAGTTGGTGGGTGGGAACCACTGACTTTTTGATTAGGAGCCAAGCACTTTAACCTTTGCGCCATCAGGGCTTCTTCATTATAACAAGGGTGGCTATTTGACACAAAAGTTAGCAATAACATAGACAAAGTCATTGGGTCTCATCCTTTCCCATGTAAACAGTGCAAACCTAAGAAGGAGAAAATAGGAGTTTCCCTCATTCTTCAGTCTTACACTTTCATAGAGCAGCCAGCTGCCACAGTGAGAATGCGGGGTGTGGTGATGGAGGCAGAGCAGGCAGGAAGGAGGAGCCTGGGTCACTGTTTACTTCACAGAGCGCCTGTTACATCCTGCATTGTAACCACTGGACTTCTTGTTATAGGAGGAGACAAAATGATGAAAGTCTTGTTTTGGTTTTCTGGGGTCACTGGTGTGGCATCTACCTTAGGTGATAAGCCTTGCCCAGGCTGGAGGCTGGGAGAGGCGAGCAGGGCCTGGCTGGACCACTGAAGCCAGCCGAGGTGTGGGGGGCACGGACAGGGCTGGTGGGCGAGCTGGGACAGGGCACCCGTGATAGAATGTTCCTTCCTTCGGTTACAGGCTCCAGAGCAGTGAGTGGATGTGGATAACCCAGGGATCTTGTGAAAATGTGGATTTTTATCTTGGGTTTGAGATTATATCAAACAAGCTCCCAGTTTATGCCGAAAATATTATAGAAATAGGATGTGAGTTAAAACCAGAGACTGCTGTTAGAGAAATTAATAGCAGGATGGATAATGCTTAAAGAGTAGCCACTGGTATACAGATCATGCGAGAGAGAAAACATTTACACAGAGACCAAGAAATAAGACTGTAGGTGTCAGCTGGGTGGGGTGGAGGGGAGGAAAGAAACAGGAACAGAGGTGGGGGCCCCTTCTTAGAGAAAACTGAATGGTTTTCTGATTTATTGGTTGATCAATTATTGTAAGGTTGACAGAGAATGTTTACCGATTTCTGGAAAGACTGGTGGTGTCATGTGAAAGGGAAAAAAGAAAAAAAGAGGAAGAAATAAATGTTAGTTGCAAAATCAAGAGGAAAAACACTGATCACATATTACCAAGGTATAAATGAAATCAAACTTTAAAAAAAAGCACAACGAAAGAGTTTTAATTGCACATAATTACAAATCAGTGACACATGATGAGTTCATTGATTTGAACTTAATATGTTCTTCTGAAAATTCACTAATGTTGGTATCACATAATAGTGTGTAGGTTCTACAAAGGTGAACTCTTAACTTCATAGGTGAACCCTCAACCTAAGCTTTGGACTCCTGACACGATGGAGGAAGCCAGGTTCACGTGTTCCAGCCTCGGCAGGCCTGGATGCCTCTTGTGCTCTGGGATGAGGAAGCCCCTCCTGTGACCGGAGGAAGAAGCTGGAGGAAGAGGCCTGTGGAGCTGCTCAGGAATGCAAGTGTATGCTCTGGAAGGCTGGAGCAGGATCTGCCTTAAGTGCAAACGCCCTCGCCCTCAGAGTGGAGCATGGCCTTGAGCCTGGGGGGAAGCCCTGTCCAGTTAAAGAGCTGAAGGCCAAGAACCTGTCACTTCCTCTTTACTTACCACTATCTCTTTCTTCCATTTCAGGTCCCAGGTGTGGCTCAGGAAGAGTTAGTCCAGCCTAGGCAGCTAGGGACGGAGGGCAACCTTGCGTATCCAGGCAGTCACAAATAAGGACTTTAACTGCTCTGACTGGTGTGTGGACCAGACATCATTCATCTGCCTCCAAACTGCCTAGTGGCTCTCCTTCCCCTGCCATCCTCTTCCTGAAATATCTTCTTGGGCTTAGAGAGCACGTTCACTTAGACTTCCAGAAGCTGGAGCCAGGAAATGGTGCGTACTACAGAGAACTGGGGTGCTGTTACTTTTAAGGGGTAAGGCTGGATATGAATTATCGAGGTAGTGTGTGCTTCAGGCCTTGAGATTCCTCCGTGAGGTAAATAGGCAGCAAAGGAGACAGTTGAACTGAGCCCTAAGAGGCATCCTGGTGCCCTGCTCTGCTGTCATTTGGCCCTTTTTCTCTACGTGTGTGGATTTTCAAGCCTTGGATACCTGGGGCCACCTTCCTTCTGTGACTCTAACGCCTCATGGGGCATTAACATCCCCATCCTGGGCCTTGGTTCTCTGTGTTGAATGACAGAACCTCCTGACCAGAGTCTGAAGATGGAGCAGCTCTGGCTGAGGAGTCTGAGTCCCAGATTCTCCAGAGCCATCCTTGTCCCATCCCTGCACATAGTCTTCTTGGATTCCCCGAGGCACTGGAGCCTTTTCTATGTAGTTCTATAACTACAGCTTCACCTGTCACACTGTGTGATGTGGTGCAAAAGTGGGGAGAGAGTTGGTAGCAAAAGGCCTTGACTGTTTATTGGGTCCTGGGTGGGGCTTGGCCCTCTCATGAACTCACCAATGAAACCAGACAAAGGACAGTCCAGCTAGATCATGTGTGGGGTCTCCAGATCCATCCTTCTTGGAGCGATATGCTTTGAGGCTTTCTAGTGTGTGGGAAGCATGTTTCCCCAGTTTGTGTCTTTGTCCTCCCACCCATCTCGGCCTAGAGCTAGTAGTGAGTCCCTGTAATTTTCACTTGCTCTCCACAGTCTCAGATAACCAAAACCAAACCCGTTGCCATCGATTCCAACTCATAGTGACACTATAGGGCAGAGTAGAACTCCATGTGGTTTCCAGGGAGTGCCGGGTGGATTCGAACTGACACCGTTTTGGTTAGCAGCCATAGCTCTTAACCACTACGCCACCAGGGTTTCCACAGTCTCAAATGGGAATCCAAAATGAAAGTGTTCTTTTTTGCTAGACAAGCTCAACATAGGAGATGGTGTATTTAACTTCTTGGGTTTACAGTTTCCATTGGAAGAAAATTTCTAGATCAGTTCATGTTCCTACTGAGAATTTTTCAATTTAAGAGATAAACTTCTCAAACACTGAGAAATGCGTATGTAACTGATGTTAGAGTAAAAATTCAAAAGTGAAACACATTATTTCTCCTACTTTCTTACACAAAAGGTAGCTTAGGATTTACATTTGCTTTTTAATTAACACATTTGACTGAAGTTTTTATAGCAATAGATGGACAACTTAAATCTAATTTCTTGTAAAATTCCAACATAATACTCTATGATTGATCTTTATGACGATACTGCCACGAATGGGCACTTGACTGTGTCCACTATTTTACTGTTGCAAAGCTTGCTCTGGTGAATATAAATGTAAATTTCTAAAAACCAAGTATCAAATGTTAAGACATACAAGCCTGTCTGATCTAATACAAGTTAAAATGAAGGAGTTTTCACATGGTTTTTTAAGATTATCATATGAAAATTATATTCATTTCATGTTTTAAGCCATTGCTTAAACTTTTATTGTCAACTATATTGTAAACTAGGAGTGCATAAACTGTTTACTGTGTAGTTTAACTAATAGGAATCTAAATCCCTGATAATAAATAGACCTTGTCAGTTTTTGTGGCATCCCACTGTGTTCCACCCTGATGTCATCTACCTCCTGCTTGGAGATTATTGCTATCTGCATTTGAAAAGTTTATTATTATTACAATTATTATTTCTGTTATTACATCTTTGACGCCCAAGTGTTTTTTTTTTTTTTTTAAATAGCATTGTTTTTCTTAGTAACGGTTTACACAGCAATCTAGTTTCCCATTGAACAACTTCTGTGCAGATTGTTCATTGACGTTGGTTACATTCTTCACAATTTGTGAACATTCTCAATATTTCTATTCTGGTTGTTCCCTTTCCATCAGTCTAGTTTCCCTGCCCCCTTACATTCTTATCTTTGCTTTAAAATAATTTTTGACCACTTGGTCTCATATAGCTGATTTTTTAATGGAGCACAGTACTCACAGGTGATACTCTTTATTTTGTGAGCCAATATGTTATGTAGCTAAAATGTGACCTCGGGTTGGTTTTGGTTCAAGGTTGAAAGAGTATCTCAGAACAATATTCTTGGGGAATCCTCCCATCTCAGCCTGTCCAGTAAGTCTGTTTTATTTTTGTTGTTGGGTAGTTTTTTTTTTTTTTTTAGGAATTTGAGATTCTGTTTCCCATTTTTCTCCCATTCTATCAGGGTCCATCTATTGTAACCCTGATCAGAATGGTCGGTAGTGGTAGCTAGGTACATCTCATCTAGTTCTTCTGGTCTCAGGATAAATGAGGCTGTGGTTCATGTAGACTGTCCTGTAGACTAATTTCTTTTTTGAGTCTTTGGTTTCCTTCTTTCTCTTTTGCTGCAGAGGAGTAGAGAACAATAGTTGTGTCTTAGATGGCGGCTCACAAGCTTTTACGACTCCAGTCACTTCTCACCAAACTAGGATATAAAACATAAACTTTAGGAACTGTGTTAAGCCAGTTGACCAAGATGTCCCACAACACTATGGTCCTAATCCTTAAAACCCAGGAAACCAATCCCTTGGGGGTGTTTGGTTAACTCTAAGAAGTATCGTTAAATGTGACACCCAAGTCTTAATCCATAATCTGTTGTTTGTTTTTACCTCTTTTGAGCTTTCTGTAAATTTAATTATACCTGTGTCTGGGTTCTTCTGTGACTTGTTTTCCTCAGAATGCTTTTGAGTTTAATACATCCTGGTGTCTGTAGGTCTAGTCTACCCATCTTGCTATGTATGCAGGCTACCGTTGTATGAATGGCACAGAATTTACCTACCCATTGTAGCGCTTACAGGAGTTGTGGTTCAAGTGTAACTCTTGCTCCTGTGAATATTGCTGCTCTTATTCTCGTCATTCTTTTTCCAAACTCTTAAGTGCTCTTGCACAATCATTCTCTAGTGAGGGGAAATCTCTGAGTTGCACATCATAGCCAAGTTTAAATTTATTAAAAGAGCTGGTGTATTTTACAGATTTTCCTGCCCACAAAATATGTGTATCTTATTTTTTCCATCTGCTTATTGGAGCCCTGGTGCACAGTGGTTAAGATCTCTACTGGTAACCAATAGGTTGGCAGTTCAAATCTACCAGCCGCTCCTGGAAAATTCTATGTGGCAGTTCTGCTCTGTCCTATAGGGTTGCTATGAGTCGGAATTGACTTGACGGCACTGGTTTTTTTTTCTTTTATCTAATGAAGTTATTTTTGCTCTTATAATCAGTGTATAAAATGATATCTTAACTTTGATTTTATTGTTCAGGTACCTTTCACTACTTCACTACTGAAAAGGCTGTGCTTTCCCACTGTTAACTTATATGTCTATTACTTTTTAGGGTAACACAGTGGTTAAGAGCTCAGCTGCTAACCAAAAGGTCAGCAGTTCGTATCCACCATCCACTCCTTGGAAACTCTATGGGGCAGTTCTATTCTGTTCTGTAGGGTCGCTATGAGTCAGAATCAACCTGACGGCAATGGGTTCGCATTTGGGGGTTTTTTTGTATAAACTTTGGAAAATTTTCCCCCTAGTATGTAACTTCTCAATCATTTTTGCTGCCCTTTGATGAATTGCTGTGAATTTAAATATAGTTGAATTTGTCAGTCTTTTTCCTTATGTCTTGACCTTCTTATTTAAGATTGTTTTCTTTATTCTGATGTTGTAAGATCGTTTGCTTATAACTTCTGAAACTGTTGTAGTTTTACATTCTCATAACTAAAGCTGATCTACCTGGAATTGATTTTTGCATGTGGTGTACATATAAATAGACTATTCCAGTTAGAGAATTATTTGATAAACAACAAACATTTTCCTTCTCCTTGATTCTGACTTATGGAGACCCCATGTATTTCAAAGAACTGCACTCCATAGGATTTTCATTGGCTGATTTATGGGAAGTAGACTGCCAGACTTTTCTTCCAAGGCACCTGTATCTTTTCTTCAACCTCCAGCCTTATGCTTAATGTCTGAGTACTTAATCTTTTATACAACCCAGGGCCTCTGATTAGTATTGATTCTGCCCCACATGTTTGAGTGCTTTCTACCACTGCCCTGCAGAGCTTGTGGTGTCAGCTTTCTATGGCTAATGGTGGACCTTTTCTAGGACTGTTTGTTTATTTTTGTTGGTGTGTTATGTATTCTTACAATGATACTATCCTGTTTAATATAGCTTCAGTTGTAAAATATACGTGAATACAATTGTATATATTATAGATGGGGAAAAGCCCACGCCTTATTCTCTAGAATATGTTGGGTATTTGTGGACATTTGCAATTACATATGCATTTTTAAAGAGTTTTTGTGAAGTTCAAAAAATAAAAATTGGTTGGAATTTTATGGAAGTACATTGGAAATGATCTATTTGTGGAGAACAGTTGTCTAAGAGCGTGCACTATCTTTTCATTTATTTTAGTCTATTTGTATGTCATTTAATAGTGTTCTATAATTTTTTCATTAGGATCTTTTATTAACTGTAGTCCTTTTTGATAAATTTTACCTTGACTAAAAATATATGAATCTTTCTAAAATTAATTTTTCAAATGCTTGTTGTTAGTGTATATAAATGAAATATTTAAAATAATCCTTACCCTGGTATTTATCTTGTAACTTGAATACTCAGTACTGTAATAATCTGTACCATCCTTGAGTGTTCTACGTAGACAATTATTTAACCTGAAAGTATAGATTCGGGTGTTTTTTTCTATTTAACGTTATTACTTCTTTACCTTTTTTGGTGTGTATTGGCTACAGTCTCTACAATAACATTGAATAGGAATGGAATAATCGATGTCCTCAATTTTTAGCTACTTTTACTAGAAAAGTCTTGACATTTTCTGTATGTATGTGCTTTGCTGTACAGTTTTTGTACATGCCCATTTTCATAATTTTCTATCTGATTATGGCCAAAACCTTCTAACATGGTTCCCACCTTTTATATTTGCCCCCACACATAGGTTCTTTAAGAGTTGTCATATCGTTTTCCGTCTCTGATCAAAGGCGTAAAATTGCTCTGCATTTCACTCAGATAAGAAGCCAGACTCTTTTCAGAAGCCAGCACTTTCCCCAGAACATGGTATGCCCACTGGCTCCAGTCACCTCTCCAGATTCCTCTGTTGTTGCTCTCCAGCATCTCACCCTGCTCTGGTCATGCTGGCATTTGGGTCGCCCCTAAAATATACTAGTCACAGTCCCAACTTCTGGCCTGTGCTCTGGCATTTCCTCCTTCTGGAACAGTCTGTTCTCAGCTGTCCCTTTGGTAATTCCTTCAAATCTTTCAGGTCTTACCTCTGATCATTGTTTTCAATGAATTCAATTAATTAGGCTATTGAGGTCTCAGGGCAAATGACTGCCCCCAAAACTGGAGGGACACATAGGCACTCTGCTCCTGGCCTTCTGCTCTGGAATGATTGTATCTGCCTATGTGTCCCTCCAGCTTTGGGGGCAGTCCTTTTCCTGTGACCTCAAACTCTCGGTTGAGTATGTTCAGCTTTCTTCTGCAGGATGGGAGTGATGACTTCCAAGCTCTTATCTTACCAAAACCTGAAAGTCTTCATTTGTGTTTTGTATCATTACTATTATCTGTTTTCTTTTACTTTCTCGATAGTATTTATTCTTGCTGCTTTTATTCTTCCAGTGCCCCAGTTTATCTTTTGCTAATGACCTTTTTATTTTGTGAATAACCAATGAATCTTCTCTTTCCCAGCCATGAAGGTCAGTGGCACTCTTTCACTGCTATACTCCTACACTGGAAGTTGTTAAGGTCGATGATCATCTGAAATATATATGAGTGTTTGCGAAATCATCACAGTGTACTTTGAAGTTTTTAAAATTAAAAACGTATTTATTTTTCCTTACCAAGCCAGGTTTTACTAGGTTGTGTTTCCTAAAATGATTATTTTCCTTTTCTCTGTACTAAGTTACTGCAAATAAATATGCTTCTGTTACTGCGTATCTGCTGACCGTCCTACATTTTTCATAGAACTTACCACCACATGACGTTATGTTGTTGTTGTTAGTTGCTCTCTTAGTTATCTAGTGCTTCTGTAACAGAAATACCACAAGTAGGTGGCTATAACAAACAGAAGTTTATTCTTTCACAGTTTAGGAGGCTAGAAGTCTGAATTGAGGGCATAAGCTCCAGGGGAAAGCTTTCTGTCTCTGTGGACTCCGGGAAAAGATCCTTGTCATCTGTCTTCCCTGGTGTAGGAGCTTCTCAGTGCAGGGACCCTGGGTCCAAAGGACATGCTCCGATGCTGGCTCCTTGCTTGGTGGCAGGAAGTCCCCTCGTGCCCCCTCTCGCTTCTCTCTTTTATGTCTCAAACGAGATCGACTGAAGATACTAAACCGTTAGCTTTTGTTCTGCTTCAGTAACATAACTGCCTCTAATCCTATCTTATTAAAATCTTAGAGGTTAGGATTTACAACACATAGGTAATCACATCAGGTCACAAAATGGAGGACAACCACACAATACTAGGAATCATGGCCTTGCCAAGTTCACACAATTTTTGGAGATACGAGTCCATCCGTAAATGTTGCTGTGGAGTCAATTCTGAGTCATACCGACCTCAGATATGCAGAGCTCCATAGGGTTTTCAAGGCTGTGATCTGTCAGAGCAGATTGCCACCCCTGTCTTCCAAGGAACCTCTGGGTGGCTTTGAACCACCAGCCTTTTGACTCTCAGTGAAGCACTTACTTGGGCCACCCAGGGAACTTCACGTTATATTTTATTTACCACCCATACCCAAAGAAGTTACAATCCACGTATATCTGGATATTTCTGGTATAGTGCTGTATTTCCTTTGCCCATGTGGAGTAGGCTCTGTGTCAGTATTACCTAGTTTCAATACATGACAGCCAGATGTAAGGGTGTGGTGCAGTGAATTACTTAAAATGGCCTTTCTAGCCATAATCTTTATAACTCCAACCAAATGATTGGGTGGGACCATGGTAATAAGGTATATGGAACCATAACGAGGGGATTGGTCAGCTTTGCTATCCTTCTAGGCTTAAAATGAGCCATACGAGATGTGTGAAGACAGGATCTCACCACCACCAAAGAAGTAGAAGCAGGAGTGGAGTGTGTCCTTTGGACCTGGGATCCCTGTGCTGAGATATTCCTAGACTCAGGATGCAGTTGTAACACAGAAGACAGCAAGATGGTGAGAAGCAGCAACAGCGGAATGGCAACAGCAGAGGCAGCAGAACCAGGAGACTGGCAGGAAACCAACAAGAGACAGCATGGTGGGCTTCCTAGCCCACAGAGCGAGAAAGCTGAGTGCCTCTGCGCAGCAGGCTTGCAGGCGGAGTAGGGTGCCTCCCAGCACTTGGTGGAGCTAGGTTTGCTGACCAGGAAAGCTAGAGGTGAGTGCCTTCAGACCAAGGCTTCCTGGCAGACTGCCGTGCCTCAGGGCACTTACTAGAAGAACTAAAAGAGCTTTTTAACACTTGCCTGAGCAAGGCAGAGGACAAGGGATTAGAGAGAGGCAGGCACATCTGAGAAGAGGCTGTCATAATGGAAGAACTGTATCCTGAGCCTGAATTGTAACTGGTTGCTTCGCTAATAAATCCAACAATCATGAGTTTTGTCTGTGAGGTCCACGTGGACATTGCAGTGAATTACGGAACTCAGAAGAGAAGTAGAGAGTGCCCTGGGAAGGACGGTTGGTATCAGAATTGGTGAAGATGTCAGAGAGAGGAGACAGGTCTGAACTCCGCCTCATAGGAATCAGCCTTGAGCTGTTGTTCTTGATTCTCATTCCCCCTTGTGGAGTTAGAGGAGGTCAGTCACTGCCTCTGCTGCACCATTATTACAAAGGGCATGAAGGGAAGTAGTCTTACCTGAGACACTGGGCTTTTTCAGGAGGAGATCCAGGTTGTCTGTAATGAATAAAATATTTCATTTGTCTCCTGTCCCCACTACCCAACAGACTCTAGATCATCCATGTAATTGAGGATTAACAGCCAGAATAACAAGAAAACTGTAGGCATATGCACAGAAATGTAGTTGTCAGGAATTTTAGTCTTTGGCATATTGTCCTGCATTTTGATCCTGGCTCAGCAGCATACCATTTGGTTAACACAGAGCAAGTGATTGATTGTAACTTTCCTTGCTATAACTCATTTGAAGCAATATCTACTTAGGAGAAGCATGAGGAATAATGAGCTAGTGTGCTGAAAGCTTTTTGCAAGTCACTTCAAACATTGTAGTTGCTCAATAAATGCAATATTTTATCACGAATATGTTATTGGAATGGAAGTTAGGGTTTTGATGGCTTTAAAATATGTAACCTACTGCACTGCAGTGGAGGAGAGTTTTGAATGTGGCACTGGATCAAAGATTGCTGTGACACTATCATACAAGGATTGATTAGGAGTGACCTTGTCAGCTCACTTTACCCCGTAGCCTATCTGTTCTACAGTTTCTCAGCTGTTCAGTGAAATTGTAACATCAGAAGGGCTGTTTAGCTGCCTTTTTGTCCTCCCCACATGTGGGAGCTAAAGGGTTGATGCTATTTCACAGAGGGCAGTCCAGCAGCCCAGACGGTGCCAGTGGTTGGGGTGCAAGTGGTCATGCTTGCATGCCTTCTAAGGACTGCAAATGTGAGAAAATTTTGGAGTGGAGCGTCCAGTGTTGGTGTGTTTCTATTTCCTAGGATGCATGAGTAGTGTAATAGCTAAATCTCCTGCACATCAATGAACTTACTAGAAAATGTGAACCTTAACCTGTTGTTCATGGTCATCAAACATAAGGGCATACTATTCTGATTCTTCAAATATTGGGTTCTTTGTCATCTTATAACAGTGTGTGTTTGTGTGGGTGTCTGGGTGTGTGCTGAAGGGACAGTCATTGATAATTGCTGTACAGTAGCTTTTGGTCTCAGTGTGAAAATTTTGATGATACCTAGATTCTTGTTTCCTGTCAGCTGATCTGTTTACCTTTGCAATACTGTTGCCTGTCTCCGAGAAGGAACAGAGTACATGACAGTGTGCCTGTAGAGTTATTGGAAAGTAGATGAGACATATAAAAACTTGCAATTCCTCAAAATATTTTCTTTTCACCTGAGTGGTCCTGTCAGCCCCTGATCACCTGGAGTTCATTTAAAAAACATGAGAAGCTCAGGGCCTTGTGTTCGTGAGGGGCAAAAGGAAAAACTGGTAGTTCTGCAGTGTTTCTATTTCATCCTGCTTTCGCCCTGTGCTTCATGTTCCTTTAAATATTCTGCTGGGTCCTGTGCAAGGAGGTGAATTTTATTTCACAAGAAAGAGATGATCTCAGTGTGGAAATAGGGCTTTCACTGTAGAGCATGTCTCCAGTTGAGGCTATGTGTTCTGAGTGTTGTAGACCATAAAAGTAGAGAAGAATGAGACTACAATTGGTCACAGACTGTGGAGAGATAAGTTCATTGTGTTGGAAGTATTGTTAAGTCTATGAGACCGGATGCAGTCCATGAAGAAGTGAATGTAGATTGTGAGGGATGAGGCTGATGGGTAACCCCTAGAGTAGACCTTAGTACACAAAATCTGTGTCAAATCCCCATGAAATGTCAGTTCCCCAGGACTGTCAGCCTCACCCTTCCTTTCACACACATTGGAGTATGTGGTATCTTGCTGAACCAGAATATGTGGGAATTTTTAGGACTCAGTGGCTTTTGAGGATGTGGCTGTGGACTTTACTCAGGAAGAGTGGTCATTGTTGGATCTTTCTCAGAGGCAACTCTACAGAGATGTGATGATGGAAATCTTCAGGAGCCTGGCCTCAGTAGGTATGGATAAAAAAAAAAAACCCATTGCCTTCGGATCAATTCCAACTCATAGCAACCCTGTAAGACAAAAGAACTGTCCAGTAGGGTTTTCAAGGAGCGTCTGGTGGATTTGAACTGCCGACCTTTCAGCTAGCGGCCATAGCTCTTCATTTTTACATTTTTAAAAATTTTTTGTGACCAAATATGTTATTCCCATTGATGTTACTCCACTATGTGGGCTTAGGAATGGGAATATATAGTTAAATATGACAAATATGGTCACTTGCTCTCTGGAACATGTATATCTTGGTTTCCCATGAGTACAGAGCTCTGTGTTTTAAACTGATTTCTTATTTCGATTGTGGTTAAAAGCCTTAAGGCTCTTTAAATGTTGTAAACGTGAGTGTTGACTTCAGGGGTTTCTTTAGTGCACAGAGTATTTGTGATCTGGGACCATGTAAAGGGTCTTGCTTTGTTTATTACCAGTTTGACCTGATTATTTTACTACAAATGAATTCACACCTGCCAGTTACCAGAGACCCCGAGGACCAAAGTATTGGCTCAGTGTCAGGGAAGTGTTCATTGCTGCTCCCTGTCTTCCCTAATGATATGCCTTTCTCCATGATCACCATATCAGCTACACCCATTTGGTCTCCCAGAGTAGCAAGAGGAAGTCCTAAGGAGAATGGAGATAGCACTTGTCCAGGACCACTGTGTCGGGGGCACCAGTAGGCAGGAATCATTTGAAGGACTGGACCTGCATGGAGGGAATGAGATTTGAAAAAATCAATTAGAAAAAGTATCTTTTGGGTTGAGGAGTATGTGCTTAACAGATACCTGAGCTTGCTTTTCTGACTTTCATCAATCCTAACACCTGGTTCATGGAGAAAGACTGTCCTCTTTTCCTGTTTTAATGTTCCATGTGCATTGTGTCCAATACCTTTCTACTTTGCTTTTTTAATTACTTCCTATATACGTAACCATCACTCTCAATCTTCATGGAAGTATTTCCTAGTAAATTGCTTTCTCAACATTGCCAAAGTACAGAAACATCAAAATGTGTCAGAAGCTTTCTTTGCTCAAAGCTACCTTTACCCTCTGAATATTGTCTCTCCTTTTTGTTTCATGTTGTGAACCTCATCTTAAATCATTGAGTCAGCTTCTCAAAACCTTATTGATGGAGACAAGCTATCCACTGAAAATATAATCGTGCAATTCGTGAAAAATGACACCTGGTCCTCAATGGTAGGAGACGTCCGCGAATTGCATGGCACTGAAGATCAGGATAACAACCAGAAAACACATGTGAGGTAAGTGTCTTTTATGTGAGAGACAGCAGTGCTTCAGGAGAGAGTCTTAAGAAGGTATAATGACATTAAAATATTTATATACCCAAGGAGCCTAGGTGGGACCAATGTTTAAGCTCTCAATCGCTAACCAAATGCTTGACAATTTGAACCTGTGAAGAGACTCTATGGGGAAAAGTACCTAGCAATCTGGTTCGTTAATGATTACATCCAAGAAAACCCTATGGGGCAGTTCTCTGTCACATGGGGTCACTGTGAACTGAAATTAACAGCACTTAAGAACGATATAAATATATATTATATACACACACGCACACACACATAGCATATACACACACCCCCATGTATAAAAACTCATTGCTGTCGAATCTTTTCCAACTCATAGTGACCTTATAGGACAGAGTAGAACTGCCCCATAGCATTTCCAAGGCTGTAATCTTTCAGGAAGCCAACTGCCCCAACTTTCTCCCTCATAGCTGCTGGGGGGTTCCAACAGCCCACCTTTTGGGTAGTAGCCAAAAGCTTAACTACTGCACCAGCGTGATTCCTGGGTTTTTATGCACGTATATGTATATGTATATATGTACACACATACACTCACTGGTCACTTTTCAACGTGGTTATGTTCCATAGACCAGATCTTTTTGGGAAAATCTGCGTCATGTGAAAATGAAGGATTTTTTGCATTTTCAGACCATTTGTCCAATTTTTTTATTTAGAAAATATGATCATAGACATAATAACAGCTTAGATTTACTGATGTACTCATTGCTATGATAATTCCATTTATGAGTTTTTCCTCTGTGAGGAAAGAAGCTTGGAGGAGACAAAGCTGGATAAAGCTAGTCTCTGTCTTTGGAGGACGCACAGCTTAACCACTTCACCTTCCTCCTATGCTGGGTCAGAGTTCTCTTCGTGGAGCCACTCCAGGGCTCCAATCCCACCCCTAAAAGTTCTGCTTTCCGGATCCCAAAGCTTACACTGCTCTCCAGGCCTGGCAAGTCACCAAGGCTTGGGGCTTTTTTGAGTGAGCTGTGAGCCTGGCTATGCAACCAGTCCCAGCGAGGTTGAGGCTTCAGGCCCTGTTCACCTCACTTTGAGATGTCATTAAACTTGCAAGTATTTTTTCCAAACACCCTGTCTGTTGCAATCTTTTTCCTACCTTTCCAAGCCACAGCAATTTTGAGTTGCAGGGCCTCGAGTCGCATAGGAGATAGGAACCCAAAAGAGGTGCCTACTGGCTGAGTAGTGCCTGTGCATCCACCTGGAGGCTGTGGCCAGAGAGGAGCTCGGCCCTGCCCAACAGCTGGATGTGGTAACCCTGCCAGTAGAAGGAACCAGAGAGCGTGGTGTAGCGCTGCCCAGGTTCTCTGAGGCCACTCGGAGACCCTCATAAATGTGCAAAATAGTGACGTTAGATTTTTTCTATTTTCGCAAATGCGAAATTTCAGATAATGAGATAGTTGCTAAGTGAGGAGTAGGGACGCTTGTGTGTATCTGTGCAGTTCTCAAATCTGTTGCTGCCTTTTCCGACTCTTGGCAGTGCCACTGGGTGGGTTTGAACCACCAGCCTTTTGGTCACATAGGGTCACTAAGCTGGAATCAACTCAACAGCAGTTAACAACAATTATGTATATATACATACACACACTTCACACTCACACGTATATATGGCAGTACAAACTTTTGTGCCATTGAGGTTTTGTATATGTGTATTTAAAACCAGCTCTAATACTGTGTTCACAGAATTTTTACAGTACAGTATTTTTATAAATGTGAGTCAAATATTTAATGTTTGAAACATTTCACTTAAATACAATTGTTAGCACCATATTTTACAAACACAGTAAAAATAATGGTAGCGTATCTGCTAGATGATTTATTCTATGAAACATGGGACAATCCAGGACAAAAAAAATACATGTTTAATGTGTGTGGTAATGGTGAAATGGTAACAAATTTGTATCCAACAGCGTGCTGCCTATTTTTAACAGAATCCGTATGTTAGAGAACCTTTGTGAAAGTAATGAAGACAATCATTGTGGACAGACCTTCAGCCAGATTCCAAATCTTTCTGTGCTAAAAATAACTCCTGTGGATGCATATCCTTCTGAATGCCTTGAGTGTGGAAAATCCTTGATGAATCATTCATCACTTAATCATCATATCAGATCTCATTCTGGATGCAGTGCCTATCAGTGTAAGCAATGTGGAGGAGCCTGCAGTTGTCCCTCTTACCTCAGCACTGCTGTGAGAACTCTTACTGGAGAGAAATCCTATGAATGTAAAGAATGCGGGAAAGCCTTTCGTCGTTCCTCAAAGCTCACTATACACATGAGAATTCACAGTGGAGAGAGACCTTATGTATGTAAGGAATGTGGGAAAGCCTTTAGCCAGTCCTCAAACCTCACTGCACATATAAGAACTCATAGTGGAGACAGGCCTTATGTATGTAAGAAATGTGGGAAAGCCTTTAATCACTCCTCTGACCTCACTTCACATATGAGAATTCACAGTGGAGAGAGGCTTTATGAATGTAAGGAGTGTGGGAAAGCCTTTAGTCGTTCGTCAAACCTAACTAGACATATAAGAATTCACAGTGGAGTGAGACCTTATGAATGTAAGGAATGTGGCAAAACCTTTGTTCAGTCCTCAAACTTCACTGCGCATATGAGAATTCACTATGGAGAGAGACGTTACGAATGTAAGGAATGTGGCAAAGCCTTTAGTTGGTCCTCAAAACTCACTGCACATATGAGAACTCACTGTGGAGAGAGAGCTTATGAATGTATGGAATGTGGCAAAGCCTTTTGTCACTCCTCAGACCTCACTATACATACTAGAATTCACAGTGGTGAGAGGCCTTATGAATGTAAGGAATGTGGCAAAGCCTTTAGTCAGTCCTCACACCTCACTTCACATATAAGAACTCACAATGGTGAGAGGCCTTATGAATGTAAGGAATGTGGCAAAGCCTTTAGTCACTCCTCAGACCTCACTAAACATGTAAGAACTCACAGTGGAGAGAAGCCTTATAAATGTAAGGAATGTGGCAAAGCCTTTAGTGTTTCCTCAGCCCTTACAGCACATGTAAGAACTCACAGTGGTGAGAGGCCTTATCAATGTAAGGAATGTGGCAAAGCCTTTAATTGGTCCTCCTACCTCACTGCACATGTAAGAACTCACAGTGGAGAGAGGCCTTATGAATGTAAGGAATGTGGCAAAGCCTTTCGTTATTCCTCAAACCTCACTGCACAT